AAAAAGGGCAAGATTTAGCTTTGCACTAAACAGACTATTACCCAGGGTCCCACCGTTTGGAAATAGTTGCAGTTTGTAATGTGTTCTACATATTGGTGCACCAATATTTTTCAGGTATTAGACATGATGTTCTTGAGTTTCTGTAAACTTGTTTTACTTCTATAGGGAAACACTTCCAATGACAAAAATCTGAATAAGCTTCTGATGGCGTTTAGAGAATTGGGCTGTCCAAATTTCCATTCATATGTGCAGTCCAGAAGGAAAAAGGACTCTATAAATAAAAACAAAGAACTGCATAATGTAAATGGCATTTATGGACTGTGCAAATATTTTTACTTTAAAGTTAAACCTGTTGATATTGTACTTGGTAAAGGGCAAATTTAGCTATCTTAATTATAAGGTAAACTTTACCTTTGGCTTATTGTATACACTCTTACAGTAAATATATTTTTAGTTATTATATCTGATAAACAAAAAAAAGCAAACAATTGTTTATTTTTATATTACATTTATATGGATTTTTGTGTTCCCTTGAAGCTGCAAGTCTTTAAGGTATCACTCTGCCAACTTTGTACATCTAGAGCAGGACGTCTTTCTTATTTGTAAAGCAGCTGAACACTATTTTTAAGGGATTTCAAATTGTAGACTTAGTAAATCATTCTATCACATAAACATGCTTTGATTCAAATCTTTTAATTGCAACTCTGCCTTAATATTTTGGGATGTTATCCTGCAGGAAACACTGCTCCAATCTCTCATAGACCCGTTTCTTCTGCCCCCTATGTGGGTCCTCTCAACTAACTGCCAACTCTAAAAACCTTCCCTGATGGAAAAAAAAGGGTTTCCGCAGCATGATGCTGCCACCATTATGTTTCACAATCAAAATGTTATATTAAAGGTGATTTCTGTTATTTTCCCATCTTACATAGTGTTTTGCAGCCCAAAAAGTTATATCATGGTTGGTTCTTATCAGAGGTTTTGGTGCACTGTAAACCTGACCTATTTTTGCTATATTTCAGCAATGATGTTTTTCTTGACAGTCTTTCATAAAGGAGAGATGAATGCAATGCCAGACTAACACCTACACTGCAAAAACAATCCAGAAATAAGTAAAAAATGGCTTAAATTAAGTATATTTAGCCTTAATTTGAGCAGGTAAATAAGATGATTTGCCAATGGAATGAGTATTTTCACTCTTAAAATAAGATAGTTAGATAATATTTACTTGAAATAAGACGATAAAATAGTTTTTTCTTATTTTAAAAGGAAATTGTCTTGTTCCATTGGCAAAGTGTCTTACTTACCTCCTCAAATCAAGGAAAAACACACTTATTTTAAGAAAAAATAACTTATTGAGATTTATATTTTTTGCAGTGTATGATATGGACAGATTTTCCTGTTTGATTTGTGCATCTCTGCTGTTCCTTCAGAGGTACCATCAGGTTCTTGTGTGAACATCTCCCCTTGTGTTAACTGGGCACAGACAGTGGGATGGGAGACTTTCCAATCTGCATTAGATAAAATGCATTCTTTGTGTTACTTGTGTGTCTTCTAGTTTAGTGATTTACCGTTTTATTTTGGTAATTTGAGACCCTTGTGTTTAACTAACACACCAATGCTTTTTTCCAAACACCAGAATTGATGGTCTATAGAATTGAACACGAGCAATACAGTATTTGCTGATCATGAAATTTTACTGTGTGATCTGCAGTCCAAGTCTGAGTTTACTTTTCCTGTTTCTGTTTCTTTAGGAAGTCTAGACATGTGCATGTAAGCATAAATGACTCACTACCTGTAAAACCCATTGCCCCCTGCTTGTTTAGAAACAAACTAAGGCTAAGCTTCCTTGCCAAACTGTAGTTATAGACGAAGAGCGTAGTCTGGATGATATAGCTAAAGGCAATCCTGCTTAGCAGAAGTCGCCACCTGTTTCAGTTTATTAAGACATTAAACAAAGGAAGAATTCAGAGCTGAAACAAATATCAAGTTTTTCTAAACCAGACAACCCCACTGATTGCAATGCTCCAAGTTAAAATTCTTCTTTTTTTGTTTGAGATGCAGGTGTGCCAAGAGGCTCTATGCAGCGTTTTTGCTCATTCATTTGGTAAATGAAAATATTCCACCCAGATTTATTGGAACCAAATGTAAAAATATATAAAAATCTGTAAATTGCATTTGCCTTTTACTGTAGCAACATATTCTGAGTGGGGAGATCTTCTAATTTAAAGAGATTTTTTTTTTGCTTGTTTTTACAAAATCTCTAAGACCTCTTTTTTTTTTACTGCATTACTGCAAGCCCACTTTGCCAACAGGACAAGAAAAAATCTGCTCCCATTGCATAGCTTAAAGTTGGAACATTTAGAGCAAGAATAATTTTGCTAAATGACCCACTGATGACCTTGATCAGACTCCTGGTCTTTATATTAATCTTCATGCATTTTAAAATATTCATATTGCCACAAGTTCAAGCCAGGCCTGATGACCTTGTTTAAAGTGGGAATAAAGTGTTGCCTTGGGTTTAAATCCCAGTTAGGGCCTTTCTGCTTGAGGTTTTCTCTGGTCCCTTAATATGTTACTTTTTGATAATGCTTATAGTGAGATTGGTTCAACAATCTCTATAGGTATGCTGCTACAGGCTTAGACTGCTGGAGGACATAGGGACCACTTTTCATCTTCCATCAATATTGCTGTTTACCAATGTTGGAGCTTGGCCTTTTTTTCAGTGTAGTCCCGTTTCTCTTACTATGAGTAGCTATATGTACTCTTTTTCATCCTCTTACACAGGAGCTGGCTCAGAGCTCATCTGCTTGCTTTGTCTTTCATGGATGGGGCCACATTTGGAGCAGGTTAACAGTTACCTTTTGTATCTCTGCAGGTATCATTTGTATGTCTGCTTCTGTCTCCTTGGACCCCAGTCTGTCTCGGCAGATTGCCGCTCACGCTCAGTCTAGTTATGCTGGAGGTTTCTTCCTGTTAAGAGTTTTCCTCTCCACTGTTAATACATGCATGTTTGGTGTGAGGAATTGCTTTCAAGTCACTAAGCCAATGCAATATGCCGGTTTTCCTTTGATAGAAAACTTTAAACCAATCTGACTCTATGATCTGGTTGAATGGTCTCTGTAGAGGACCTTGAGATTACATATGTTGTAAATTGCTGTTACATAAATGAACTGAATTTAATTTAATTATTCTGGGCTCCTTACATGGTTCGAAATTGATTGTTCAGTTGGGTTCATACAACTGCCTTTTGGCATGGTTGCTTTTGATTGTCTGAAAATCCCTCTAAGATGTGTTCTAACACTTGACCCTGCACAGATTAATATAAAAAAAATGTCAAGTGTTAAAAAAGGGTATTTCCTTATTATGTTGCGTTTTATTTTACATAAGTTCAGTTGTGCTAGTTGAAGAGTTGTAATTAAAAATAAAAATTAACTAAAGACGAATAAGAGTCGATTATTAGGTTTTACACCAGAACCCCCCTGGATGGTCCCCCCCCCTCCAAAAAGTTTAACTTGACTCTCATCTGACTGAACCAATATTTTGAAACTGTGATTTAAACCTTTGCTGTAATTCTTTAAAAGTGATTGCATGAAATTGGCATCATGCTCACTGAATGTGACGTCAAGATAAACTTTTGTCTACATCAACCCTTCTTCTTCAACTCTCCAGTGCTGTTGAGACTTTTAAATCCTTGCTCTAATTTCGAGTATGGGTAAGCTATAGTTAGTAACTATTTTTGGGGAGCCAATTCCAGACTCATGATTACCAGAAGAAATTGTTAATGATACTCAAATTCCATATTCTTTTGTCTGTCCCATTTTAGAGAAATTAACCTCTTGGACTGTCGTGTTAGTGAACGAAATTTCAATGGAATTAAAAACAAGGTTTTTAGAATTGTTTTTAACAGTTTGTGGTGCTACAATAAAATTTAGATTAATTTAAGGGCTATTATACATCTTTAACAGAAAGATTTCTACCTATAAGCATTTGGATCGTATCAGGCGCAGTTTTTTCCAAATGAAAAGTGGTTTATGAAGGCTGCACATTATAAAAAACATATTTACCACATTTATGTAAACATATTGCTGTTTTTTTCTGATTACTTTTGTTTGTCTTCTTTAACATTGTCCTGTCTGGCGATGTGGCAATAAGAATAATTGTCTTGATGCCAAAAAGAGAGCCCAACAGCTTTTATTTTCACAAGTGGAGCAGTACGGCTATTGCCATAGTGTTCCGCTTGATTTAGGGATATAAATAGCTTTATTAGAATTCATGCAGGGAGTATTACAGATTTTATGTACACTGCAATGTAAGTACAACAGGAAAGGAAAAATGAAAAAAGAGAAAAGATTAAAGAAAGGCGAAATAAAAGGGAGATAACGATAAAACATGTTCAGTCTGCTTCATCACCTGCAAAGAGATGTAAAAATAACAGCACAACCAACGAATATAGTATAAAAGATACAATAAAGTAACACCTAGACACTATACCTGAAGTATAAGTAATATTATTTAATCTGACATGTATACTGTGGTAAGTGAAGATATGAATATGGGCTTTCTGTACGGAAGTGAATCTCTAAGTAACCTGGAGCCAAGCACCTATATTTGTTTGTGAGAATGCTCTTGCATGAACAGTGCTTTTCTGATTACTTTAACAATATTACATCATGGGAATGGATTGAAAAACTCTGTATCAAATGGTCTCAATTTAAAGAAAATTGCCAGAGAACAGTAGAGTTAAGTGCCAGTTATTAAGCCTATAGTTGTTGAATATTAAAATCATAAAAATGAGTAGACTAAGCTAAACCTGCAATCTTTCTTTTTTTAGGCAATGTCTATATAAACCTGATGTGTTTAATGTTTTCTTTGCATTTTTTTTCTCCCTCTTCAATGAGTCATACTAACAGCATGTTATAACACTCATCATTTTTGTAATGTAAAGTTTTATTTCTCACATGAAGTGTTAATGTAACGCCTATCCTTATTATCTGTTGCAGCAGATGGATCAACCTAGCTTTGGGTTAACATCTCCCCTGAAGAGGAAGCCCAGCTCCTGTGGTGTTTGTCGAGTGAGATTCACCCCTGAGGTGGGTGGTGTCTCATGGGAAATTCTCTCGCTAAGATGTTGCTCCCTTGCAGCCCTTTTGTTTCTTTAAACACACCCTTTTTATGACAGTTGAACAGCTGAAGAGACCTGCTTTTGCTTTAAAGCCGTTTGACTGGCTCTAAGGAAGTTTAGCTTTCTTTTGTAACAATTGGCTGGTTTGAAGCACCCCTTAATGTTTGTCTTAAAAAAAGAAAGTTTGGATAAAATCAGGCTAGGGTGTAATTGACACAAATATTTCAGACAGTAAGAGAAATGATAATAATTTAAAAAAGTGCTCATGGCACAGCTGCAAAACTAACAAGAGCTGGACCTCAATGCAGCAAAAACGCTAATGACAATGCTAGCCTCAGAGATCAACATAAGTCCTGTTTGAAGTTTGCTATGATGTATGCAACACAGAAAACATCTGGAAGAAGGTGATCTGATGAGATCAAACCCAAGCAGGGCCCGCAAAATGCTACTGTACATGTCAAGGAAAGCTAACATTATCAGTAACGCCGTCTAACATGGAAAAGCGCTGTGGAAATGGTTTTATTGAGTGGGAGACAGGAAAGCTGGCACAGCTGAAAGGGAAATGAAAGGGCTAAATTATGGACAAAATTTAAAGAAAAACATTAAAAGGTGGCAAAAGATTAAGGTTTTACTTTCCACCAAGGACAGCAGCCCTCCCCATAAAGCCAGATCTACAATGGAATAGATTTGATCCAAACATATAAATTTGCTGAAATGGCCTAATGAAAGTCCAAACATTGTGGAAAAGTTCAGAGAACTCCTACCTATAAAAAGTATTTTTTTAAATCAACGTTTCATCGAATCGGACTTAGCTTGAGCTAATTTACATTAATGGAGACACACTCTAAAAGACTAAATGCAGCAAAAGGGTGTTCCATTGCATTGTGGAGGCAAAGCAAGTTTATTTGTATAGAACAATTAGTACAAAGACAACTTAAAGTGCTTTACCTGAATTTAACAATAAAAGATAGGTAAAATAAAAGCAAATATAAATGCATGATAATAAAAAAAATGATTAAAGCAGGCAGTAAAAGAAATAAAATCCAATAAATTATACTTCAGCTAACAGTTTGACTTCAACAGTCAAAGGCAGCTCTAAACAAATAGGTTTTCTGTGTTTTTACAGCCTTCTGGGAGTTTTTTCCAGATAAGTGGAGCTTAGGAACTAAATGCTGCTTCTCCATGTGTGGTTCTAGTTCTGGGTCTAGAGAGTAGACTTAGACTAGAAGATCTGAGTGGTCTGGGAGGTTGATAAAATGACAACATATCTCTTATGTATTTTAGTGGCAGATGAAACTAAAATAATCCAGAGAAACCATATTTTACTGTCCATCGTAATTAAGTATGTACTACACTACCATGGTCAACCACACAAATTTATGTTAAATCCCACTGAGGTTTGTAGTTGATTGATGATACAAAGCCAAACGTTCAAGAGGCCTTTATCTATGAAAGGGGAAGAATCCTTTATTTTTTATTCAGTTCAGCATACCAGACTTATAATTATGTTGTTGAAAGATTTTCCCACGTACAAGTGTTGCAATGTGAAATATTCTGTGCTGCTTTTAAGAATTTTGATCTTTTTCTCTAACATACAGGCTGAAGCATCCTTTAACTACAGTGGCACAAGGCATGAGAAAAATCTCAAAGCCGTGGACTCCTCAGATTCAAAGATCAAGACCTCTGAACTAGTCGTCAAGGAAACCACATCGCAAATCTTCTCGTCATCCTGCTTGCAGCCCTCTGGCTCTGACACGACATCAGAAGGTCTGTCTCTGAAGGCAGGCATGCTCCTCTGTGCTCATGTGTCTGTGTGTATGGGTATTAGTTATATGACAGCATTAGATATATGAACGTATGGCTTGAACCTTCTCTCCTAAGTCACGACTTTAACTCTTTGATGTGAGAATTCTCCTGCTGCTTTGGGTTGCACAGTGAAGAGATTAAAGGTTGAGCATTATCCTCTCCTCTGCTTCATCTCTACATTTTCTAACCTTATTCAGTGGCCTCCTAAGATCAAAAGCGTGTTGAAAAATGCTTTGAATGCAGTCTGTAGGCAGCTGTACAGTGCGCCTGAAGAGTATGTGTATCTGGAGGCATGTCAGCATTACTGTGGAGGAGTGTCGAAGCATTAACTGCGTTCCAGCATATTTGTTCGGGGTTTTTTCTCCATGCTGATGCCTTGTGTGGGTGTTAAGACACAAAAGCAGCAGCTTTTACCAAACTTAAGAGCAAGAAAGGTTGTATTTCCATACCTAACCCTGCAAAAATGGGTAGATCTGAATGTCTGAGGATGATTTAAAGAGCATCTTCAGGATGGAGTTTCAGGTTGAGCACTTGATGAACATAGACCAAGAGGGATCAGTGAAAATAACCAGACGCCCACACAGCTAATCATTCTTAATAGCAAAGAGTGAATGCGTTCAATCAGTCTTTGCTCCTCCAGGACCAGCTGGTTCTCACTAAAGATAACAATGCCAACTAATCTTTATGTAGGACTGTCAATTAAGTAGCTTGCAGACAAATCCAAGGGGAAATAATGTGTGTTGTTCGATTAGACAAGTTGGTAACGCTCATAATTACCTGTTGCCTGGTCAGGTTTGAGCTTTAGCAGTGTATTGGTGTATGTACAGCGAGTCATTAAATGTGGGCTAAAAGGACTTCTTTGTTTATTTTAAAGATTTGGCAGATATTCAATTATACTACTACACACCTAATCATCCAATTAGTCTCTATTTACCAATAAGTAACCTTAAAACTGACTACAAGATAACCACAAACGGCTAATAACTGAAATAAGTTTTAAAATCACTATTAATCAAATCAAACGATGTGCTATTCAGAGATATCTATGAGAAAAAAATTGAAAAATAAATAAAACTGACAAACATAGAGATGAATATGACAAACAAATAATGAACCTCTAAAAAAGAATAAAAGGGACTGAACTAAAGTACTAAAGAATGAATTAATATATCACAATATCTGGTCATAAAAACCTTTGTGAAAACTTTTTTAGATTTTTAAATTTTTTTAAGGCTCTAGTGGCCTTTATTTTGTTTTTGTTTTTGAAGAATGTAGACAAGAAAATGGGTTACAAGAGAGCGGGGAGACATTCAGCAAAGGTCAGGATGGCTGGACCTCAAAGCTGTGACAGCTCGTATACCTTTGTGAAAACTTGTAAAGATTTCTGAGTCATTGTGATTTGTACTTCATTTGATATAAAAGGGTAAGGAAAAGGATTTTAGGGTCCCTATTCCACAGCTGTTCTTATCCAGTGTCTCCAGAAATGAACCCGGCTTTCTTAGGTCCAGTCCTCAGTAAGGTTTGATTGTATTTGGCAAACTTCTTGGTCAGACAGAGGGACCGGTCGAAATGACTTAGAGGCCAAACCGACAATTTAAAACTAACAGGTTGCATGTGAGCCAAAAGAGGATGGACCTCTTCTCTAAACTGTATGCACCAGTAGAAACTACAAAAAAGCAAACTATAATGTGGATTTTACCCCTAACACATGCTCCTCCATGGCATTTAATTGTTCCACACAGACAGAGCTTTTCTCTCCTCTGGGTTCCCTGTTTTCTCTTTGGTCTCATTCCTTCCTCAGTAGTGGAACTCTCAGTGTGGTGTCATCAGTGTTATGGTTTATACATTTTTAAATGGCTTAAAAATGTGTAAGTAATGCAAATAAATTTACCCTCCCTGAAACCTACTCCTCTAAGGAATGACAGGAAGCAGCAGGTGCGTTGGATATTTGATGGAATGACTTTCAATTCCCAGCTGAGACAATGTTCCAATGACTACAGATAAATAATGTCCTGCCGGTTGTAATGACAGGAGGTTCCCCAGTGAATGGAAAGGAACAAGGCAGCTTAGGCGTTCCACTGAAAAAATTTCCTCTTTAGGGATGTTTGCAAAGATAAAGTCTTAGGAATGTTGAAGAAAAAAAAAAAAAAGGTTGAGAAGTGTTATTACAAGGAGACAAAAATTCCAACAGAGCAAAACATATTTTAACAATCAGGCAAAGAACAGATAATTTGTTTAAAGAGTCCATTCCATTTTTTTTTTTCATTGTTTGGTTCTCATTTTTATTCTTTGTGACCAAATGAGTACTTTTAACAAATCGTATAACTCTCCAGATCTATTCAAGATTTAATTCCCTTAAGAACTAAATAAAAGTTCAAGGAAGATGCCAGAGTGATTCTGGTAAAGTAGGATTACAGTATCAGTCTATGGAAGAACCTCAACTCAACATTCCTAAGCACAGACATATTTTTCTACTTATCAGTGTCAAAAACCAATTATTAATTATAATCTATGAGTCACACAGAACAATAAACAGTGTCTTCACCCAAATAATCACTTATGCTGTTCAGTGTGCTCTTTTAACAACATACTTGCCATAAACATAATTACTTTGCTCATGTTTTGGAAGGCTGAATGAGGGCCTGTCTCCAATGCAAAAAATATTTAGAGACGAGTCTATCAAAATCCTTTTGATCATAAAATTAAATATAGCCATTCAGAATGAAAAAAGTCACATTTTCCTGCACATTAGCAGCTGAATTTGTTTAACTGATTCAGTTTGTCAAGCACCCGAGCATCAGTTCCCCCCAAAAGCACAATCAACTATGGGCTGCATTTCAAATTTTACCTTTTTAAAATCTCCCACAAAACAATCATGACTTTGAAAGCAAATTGTCGCCTTCTCAAACTTAGTTCTAGGTTTTGACAACGTTCCATGAGCTGCCTTCAAGGACAACTTAATCAACTTAAGAAAAATTGATATTACTTACAAATACTGTATACTTTAAATGTCACATAAGATTCAAGCTATTGAAGTGACACAACTTTGCCCAACTTAAAATCTTAATCTTAATTTTTATACCAGAAATAACCAATACTTCTCTGAGGCACAGCTTGATTTTTCAGTTTTGCTGTGAGTACGCACTCATTTACGCTAGTATAGATCCTGGCGAGTCCTTTTACTGAAGTCCAAAGTAATGAATAGTGCCAAACGTGTCAAATTGATCCATTATTCTTCTGTCTTTTAATACTTCAATCTGCCTCATCTGTTTCTTTTTAAGCCATCTCTTTGAGTACCGGTAACTACATCTGTTCACTTAATTGTATTTCTGATTTTAGAGCCCTCAGCCCCAAACTCCTCTTCAGACACATCGTTGAGTACTGGCCTCCCTGAGACATCGAAAGAGCCCACCAACCACTCCCTGCCAGCCAGTCCGAGGACAGCTGAGAAAGATGGAGAAGCAGAGACTCCAGATAGAGAGACGGAGGAGGAGAAAGCAAAACGCCTTCTCTACTGCTCCCTCTGCAAGGTGGCTGTGAATTCTGCCTCTCAGCTACAGGCTCACAATAGCGGTAGGAAATAGTGAGTGTGTTGTCTAACATTACATACGAGTGTTATGTTTGGGTCTTCACCAATGTCACTATGTGTGCTCAGGTACCAAGCATAAAACCATGCTGGAGGCTAGAAGCGGTGATGGAGCCATTAAGTCATTTCCCAGGATAGGGGTCAAAGCTAAGATGGTTGCTCCATCTGAGCCACCAACTGGACTGCAGAACAAAACATTTCATTGTGAGATATGCGATGTGCATGTGAACTCTGAGACTCAGCTCAAACAGGTGAGCTGTACTGCATGCTCTTTAAAGACTTTTAAGATTAAATTGTGAATTATTTCAGAATGAATGAATGATGAAGAAATTAAAAAAATTATTTCAAACAATCCAGTAAAATTATAAAGAACCACATACAGACATTATGTAAATATTTACATACTGATTATATCAGAAAAAGGGTATACAAAATTGAAGCTTATTTAATCTTAATTGGATTTAATTGCCTTCTTTAAAGGGTAAAGGAGGCAAATGGATTGATGAAGCTGCTAGCCACTGGCTTTCAAAGTTTTTTCCTAAACCTTGATTGAATAACAGCAGACATGTACCCACTAATGAGCAGTTTGCTTACATATTTTGTTTTAAACAGCTTCTTGTATCTCCTTATTTTAATTGTACGTTAACTGATGGTGAAAGTAGTAACATTTGAGCCTTCATATAAACTTTTTCACAGAATTTTGTCTTTTGAGCTGCAACAGTTAAAATTACACAATATTATTTCATATATAAAATGTATCTCTCTGCTCAATAAGCCTTTATCATTGGGGTTTCAATCAAAATAATCAATTTTGACTGTTTAAGGAAACCTGAAAAAAGGTTTGACTTGTTGTGCTGTTGATGACGTAGGTTTATGCTCTGTTTTTCTTCAACTCTTGCTGGAAATTTGGCATAATCTTACCATTTTCTTGCCCATACCTGCAACTACTTATAAGCATGAGTAATTTGATAACAGTGATTAAAATGGAAATATATTTCTGAAGGAATAATGATTAAGAATTCTAATTCATGCCAAATAACTCTGAGAAAAATCACTGTTTAACAAAAAGGAATATTACCACTAGATCCTGCTATCAAGAAGCTGTTATTTTTTTCCTTTCTGAACATACTACATCGTTTCATAAATAGTAATTATTATAGAAGTTTCATATGGTACACTTGAACACAGAGCAAAATAAAGCAACATGCTCTATGTTAACAAATTGAAGCATGCTGCTATTTAATTGACCATAGCTGGTGGATTTTAAGCAGCGCTTTAAGAGGTTGGCACCAAGTGGCATGATGTAGGACAGAAGGACACAGTATATAAGGCGAGACAGACAGTGGAATAACTCAAAGCGTTTATTAAAATCAAGATCAGGCTGTGGATCTGCAGTATCAGCAGCTAGGATGGGGCACCACCCATCACAGGAAACTCTGGTTTAAGAGATAAACACAGATTAGGGACCATGATAATCTGACGGAGGATGTTTATCCATTCAAGTCACTAAATAGGTTTAACAGTTTAGTACATCTCCAGAAAATTAGGTAGGATCCAGCCAACAAGATGTGGTAGGCACCGCCCACAGTGTCCCAGATGCTGCAGCCCCAGAGAATATGCAGGACTCCGAGCCCGGTCAGCGAAACGGATCAGAACCAGAACAGGCTGGTTCAGGGTTCCAAGAGTCCACAGGCGGTTCAGGCAGAATGTTCAGATGGGAACAGGCAGGGTCAGTGGTTGAGAGGCTGAACAGGTCAGGATATCAGGAACACTACGTGACGCTAAAAACTGCTCTCTCCACTGAGACCAGACAGCAACAGAGATGCTCAATGGATGAGACACAGATCAGGATCAGGAAATCAGAAACACTACAGAGGGCTAAAAAACCTTCTCTCCACTGGCCACCTCCCCCGGAACAAGAACATGAACAAGAGCAATAATCTGGCCACAATGGCTGGACTGAGCTGAATAAATAGAGGCAGCAGCAGGTGGATTAGATGAGCAATAATGAACAACCCGTCAGACTTAGACAGGTGAGTGGAGGGAGCAATTAGGACAGCCATCAGTGCTGTAGTGTTGCAGTACATCTATTCAAATTCCAATTAGTTGTTCATGATTGTATGTATAACATCTGGATTGTATTCAAATAGCCTTTTGAAAACATGTTTTTAGGGAAAGAGTTATTGCTTTTTAATACCACTGATGTTTTGGAAACACAGTAACTTTGCGAACACCATTTAGTAAAAAAAATGTTTAATAGACACCAATGGTACTAAATGGTACCACTAAAACCACTAAATAATTCAGTATTTGTTTTGATAACCATATCTTAATTCACTTAACCCTTTATCATTTGTATATATTTGAGCTATTTAGCATGAAAGTTTGCTGCTCTTTTTGTGAGGTTATGTGCTTTATAGCTGTGAAAGTATCAACATATAGCTGTGAAAGTATCCACAGTACATGACTTATTTAAACTGATTATACTTTGCATTAAATGCACATGGTTTTGATGAATCAGAAATATGTTTTTCATAACCAGTTTTAAAGCTTTTCAGTATGCATACACTGTTAGTATAGATCCCACACACTCTTTGATAAATTAAAACCCTGTTTTTTCTTTATTTCTAGTAACTATACTTTAGGCAATAACATTCAAATAAAGCACAAGCAGACATCAGAGATCCTGGCTTATCAGACATCTTTTTCATGTACTCTAATGCTATAAAAAGGTCAGCTGTCTCCCACATTTGCTTTCCACACAGTTCAACAGCTCCATCCCTTTATCCGTCATGAATTACACTCATGTAGGAGGATATGTCGGACTCTGCATATTTAATTCCAAATCTCAGTGGGAACATCTCACACCTGTCGATGCAGGTGAGATAAAATCACTGATCTCCCAAGATAATGAGTACAAAGCTACTGAGCTTTTTCTATTTCAGAGAGCATTTGACTCTGACGCTGCCCTCTCTGTTCGTGATATGACTGCATAGAGTTGGTCTCCATACCTAACTGTTTCAAAGTTAACTTTGGCCAGGTGCTCATGAATATTTAGCAGCTTAGTGCTGGTTGTCAGCCATGCAAGCTTCAGCCATCTGTTAGTGATGGTCAATCAAATCAAAAGGTCCTTCATATCAGCCCGTTTTGTTTACTGTGAATCAAAAAGAACCAACAGATGAAAAAAAAAGTCTCCCTGAATACTAAAAATGAGCATTTTTAGAAAAATGGTTGTTTTTAAAACTAAGGGAGACGTTCCTATTTTTCTTTTCAATCTTTAACACTTTTCCTGTGTCTGGATGTAATTTCCTGTATGTTTATCTTTCCACTTTGTACTCCAGCATATCAGCAGCAGAAGACACAAGGATAGAGCAGCAGGTAAACCAGCCAAGCCGAAGTTCAGCCCCTACACTCCCACCCAGAGGCTTCAAAGTCTCCAGGCTGTGAGTACTCTGCTGCTTCACTGTTGTTTCTTTTCTCATCATTGTTTGGTTACAGTTGATTCTCTGAAGCCCCTTCTAGGAAACTCTACTCTCTGCACTCAGTGAACCAAAACATCCGCAATGAGAATGAAGGATAAACTGATTTACTTCTGCTTTGCTTTGATGTTTAAAATAAGACACTGTGACTAAATGCAGCAGATTACTCAATTATAGGAACCTCTGATTAAAAAAAAAAATATATATATATTAAAAAAGACGTTAAAATAAATTAATCCTTTACTGCAGAAGCATAGTTTTTGATTACAGACGAACAGCTGTGATGGATGTGCAGCATCAGAAGCAGGAGTTTTTTTCTTTTTTTTCAGTTAGGGACTATGAAAGATGGAAAAAATTATGTTGACATTGGATTAAGTAAGGAATGCTCTTAAGATGTTTGTAGGTGGCTTTTAAAAAAGCAATTTTACATTAGCCCTAGAAGGACCGCTAAGTCATTAAAGTAATAGTGGAGGATGTTCTTTTTCTGGGTGGATCATCAAAAGAAGTGGTCCTCCTAATTGTCTATCATTGTGGTGATATGTTTACATAAGGCCATCCTACGTGCTCGTCTCCATTTTCACTTACCGGTGGTGAGTCTGAAATAGAGGAAAAATTGAAAATCTTCTTTTGGAAAGAAAGCTTGTATGAGCGATGCAAACGGCAACTTTTAAACAGAGCACGCTTGAGAAACGAAGAAATAGGCTCTTGCACGCTTTCAATAAGCATCCCCTGTCTGGAGTGGGTACATGGTGTCAAGGTTTGGTGTTGGATTGAGGACCCAAAAGCAGAGGCAAGTTGGCAGAGGTGAATTTAGGTGGGTTTAATGAGGTTTACAGGTACGGAAGCAGGAATCAAAGATCCAACAAAAATAAAAAACGAACCAGGACCAAGGAGACATCAGGGGAAACCAAACTCTAGGAGCCAGGGAGAGACGAGGTAAGCAGACAGACGTTAGATGAGGATCCAGCAAACAGGAACTGAAAAGGGAGGCTTTTAAAGGGGACAGATACAAAGAGAGGGCTAACGAGAAGATTGAAAACAGGTGAGGACAGAGCAGAAAACAGAGCTAGGGAAAGGACACAAGAGGGCAGCAGAGGACAACAAATGGAAAACCAAGACTGTGACACATGGTTGTCCATGTACATTTTTGTAAAGAGAAGGTCTTTTTAAAAAAATGCACGAAAATCCTCCACTACACCTTTAACTCGTCCACATCTTGTAACTCTAGTGATGGCCTCGGCTGCCTGCTGCCTGCTGCCTTTGCAGTGCACTAGTGCACACTGTCCGATGTCATCCCTTACTTCCCGGTGGGGCAAGGCCAGCTGCCCCTACTCAGCTCTAGGACACTCTCTGCCTGTGTTCTCGCTCTGATCTCCTGTTTCCTGTCGAAGCTCCCCAGGAGCTGTCGAAGTAGAAAGTTTAAGGTTCTGGTCAGACTGAAGCACTGCTGAAAGCGAGAACAAGCTAGCCACAGTCCCCCGAACTGGGAGCATCTCTGGAGAATCTGATGGACGAAGGGAAGCCTGACCTTGTTTGGCTTTTTAATGATAAAGCACTGTGACTCACTGTGTAAAATCAGGGTTTGCGTTGCTGATTTGAAACCAGCATAAAATAAAAACTCTGATGTGGGTTTCTATTCCCCCTTTGGTGTTCAAATAGCTCCTCTTAAATGATTCATAAAGCCAATAGACATTTTCAAACTATTTTTTATTCAGTCTTTAGCTTCTTTTTTCTCTTATCTTCGAATAAAATGTACTTCCATTCTTCTCCTGCTTTAGTATGATGGGACAGGCCTTCACACTGTAAGCAAACAGCCAATGGAACTATTGATACCACTCCCCCATTTTCTTTTCTCTTGTGCCATCTACTTTTACATGCCAAAAAATAAGATCTTGATGGTAGTTTTGGTTTATTTTGCTCTTTTTCCGTAGATAAGACTTACTCTGCGAAAGAACCAAGACTTGAGCAAACCTATGGCCTCCTTCCTTCTTCATCGTCAACTGTCCATCGCTGCTGCTTCCATTCCGCCGTTGTCGACCTTTCCTCTCCAGAGTGCCACACACTCAGGCCCCGCCCTGCTTCATGGTCAGCCCCTCCCACAGACTATGTTTCATCCAGCCTCTGGAGCCATCTGTTCTCCACACACATCGATTCTGTTTTCCCCCTTCTGACTCCATCAAGACCCAGATCTGGAAAATGATCTGACCTAAGACATTACTTCCTATTCCCAACAAATCAGCAGACTGTCATGGATCGCAAAGCTGAGTGATTGAAGGCACTGGGGTCATAAGATATGTTGCACAGTGTTGACATAAAAAAAGAAAAATGGTGAAAAAAAGGTAAATCTAGAGACTCTAAGTTTGTTCAGGTGCTATGTAGCTGTCATAAGTCTGCAGCTGGTGGAACAAAACACATCAAGGCTATTATGGGATATAAAATCCCTTACAGGTATGTACAAATGCTGAGCATTTTAGTTTAATTCATGTCATTATTCCATTCAAATTCTTTTTTTTTTTATCATATACATTTAAGCTTAAAAAGAGGAAATATTTCTGCATGGTTACAGGTTACTCTTTGGTAAGCATATCAGCTATTTAAAACTAGCAGTTTTTTGTATGATCTGAAAAAAAAAAAATTCTGAAATGACTCACTCATTCTAACCTTCAAATGTTGTTGTTCAATTAAAGATGTTTTTTGAAAAACAAAAACAAAACAAAAACTTCAAGTTTGTTTTAATTTTCTGCTTTTAATCCAAGCAAGTCAAGGCACTAAAACGCTAATTAAAGCCTGTTTTCCACTATTACCTACTTGGCTCCATTCAATTGCATTCAGTCTTTTTGGACTTTCCATTATATACTTATTAGTTACCAGCTCCTTTAAAGTATCAGAAATGTGAAGTCAGATGACTTCTGGTCATTGATGGTTTAGGAGTATGAATCATTGGCTGAGTCATGAGCGCGATCCCATTACAAACATAAATTCCTCTATTTCAAAATCACAACAGTGGCAAAGCATTTTCTGAGCCTGAAGAAAAAATTTAAAGAGAAATATTGTTCAGTGACAAGGTGCAGCAGTTTGTTTCTCTTAGCCAAAGAGAATATTAATAATGTAAATGATAGTTTAAGTCCCGTCACTTTTTATAAGAGATGTCAATAATACTCACATTCTTTACGTAGATGAAATAACAGATATTTGTGTAAAAAAAAAAACAATTAAACAAAAGGATACAAAATAAGCCTTTACAATGTCAAGGCTCAGAACAAAGGGCTCAGAACTTAAGGCAAACAAACTGGTGGATTTCTCAAAGCGTTTATTAAAAAATGGCGAATCTGCAGTTCAGCAGCTGGGGCATCTAAGGCACAAACTTCTACAGAGGGAAATCTCAGGTCAGTGAACACGTTAATATCACGGAGGATGATGACGAACTCATGACTCACTAAGCTGGTCCTAAAATTCAGTCCATGCCCAGAGGAAAGAGTGGATTCCAGCCGAATGGCTACAAACAGCATACAGAGAACGCCACCAGCAGTGTTCCAGATGCTGACGCCTCGAAGACTGCAGAACTGGATGATGAGCAGATAAGAAAGGCAAGACTTTTCAGCACTTTCAAAGCAAAGCCAAAGCCTATGCCGAAGAGGTTCACAGGAGTCCAGGCAAGGAGATCAGAGATCTGAAGAGGTACCAAGGAGAAATTCAGGTGGAAGTCAGGAGGCAGATCCAGGTTTAGTCCACAAGTAGAATCCAGCAGGAGTCTGAAGACGTGTAAGGCAAACACATCAGAACAGGAACAGGCAAGCTAAGAGGTAAGGCAATCACAACACAATCAGGTATACTAGAGAACTCTCACCAAGGGTTTGAATAATCTGGCACAGCTGACTGGGAGCAAGCAGGTTAAATAGACTGGAGCAGGTGGATCAGATGAACGGTAATTAAACTGGGCGGAGCTAGACAGGTGAATTAAATGAACCATTAAGCTAGTCATCAGCGCCAAGATCATGAAATAAAACTGTTCTTTAAAGTTGCTTTATCTACAAAAAATTGTTATTTTTCTTTTGCAAACTGTGTTGGTAAAGAGAATACTAACAAAAAAAACTGACTTAGTCTGACTTCATTCTTAATCAAATCATAAGTCCTGCATGAGCCGCTGCATACTTTTAGAGCTTTGCTATTTACAACAATAAAGTTGCAAATGGCATCAAAATTGAAAAAGTACTTGAAACATAATTATCATGTAAATGTAAAATCTAATAAAGAGGGAATGGATGGGGAATGGTTTGCATCTCTGAATGTCATCCCTCATCTGCAATGTTTCCCCTCTGTTTGTCTTCATCCATGTCGTTATCAATATTTTTCTACAAACAAACTGGGCTCTAACGGGACAGATTATCTCAGTGCTCTTGATTTTCCATCTGTTTTGTTGCAGCTATGATGTCACAATGATATCAATATGTATAGTGGTAATTAGATGCTTTTAAGAAAGTAAGTGGTACAAAGTACAGATTATTGTGTTCAGATGTATTGAGTACAAGTTAAAACGTTTTAGAAAAATAAAAACTCAAAGTACAAAAGCTACTTAAATACAGCATTTAGTTAATTGACACTTCTGCTTTTCATGCTGTATTGCTATGAAGACCCCATCAACACAGAGGTGGTACTTCGTTAGGATGGAAAAAGAGCCTAATCAAAAAGAATCGATTAGAGCCAAGTCTAATTGTGCCCAACAGGAACTAAAGGAAAGAGCCATGCTTTGAGCTAATCAAAGTCAAAGCTAAGGTGATCAGTATTTCCTAAAATGAATATATTTGTTTGCTCTTTCTTTAATGTGTGTTCTCTTATCATCAGAAAATAGCACTTAAGATTTGTCCAGTATTTGTCCATTTTTTTTCCACTTCAAGTTTAAATTTACATTTTGTTGTTTGTTTTTTTTGTTAACCTGTGAAATGAGGCACTTAACAAGTTTTTTTTAATATGGGACTGTTCATAAAGGAGCCTATTAATTATGACTCAAAAAATTGCATTTATTGGCTTTTCTTTCACATTAAATGTAAAGATGACATCAGATGAATATCTGACTACTTAATGTTAAAACCTGAGCTGGTGTTCGGCTTGACCTACCACACAAAGTGTGAAAGTGGCTTTTATCACTCCTCTGAAAGGACACAGGTGTTATTAATAAAGGGCTTAAGTAAAAACAAATTTTAATATGAGATGCTTTTAACTGAATTTAAAAGTAGTGAAGGGAAATTAAAGAGAGAAATTACTTCGACATTCAAGGTACAACAGTCAGGAGAGAATTAAATTGATTTTTAGATGTGATCCCACTAGGCGCTAGAATTATCTTTTTAGTTAGGTGGGTTTCCAACTTTATCAGCTTAGTCATCTATAAAGGAGTTTGATTCAAGCTGAGCCCCAAAACTTTAGGATAGGCTTTTAGAATGAATTCTAAAATGAGCAAATAGCCTGTGCACAGATACAAGAGTGACAAACTCTTCTCTGGTTGTTAAGAGTCTTAGACCAACTTGGACTTTTGCTGATGAATGTGTAGATGGCATTACAATAGTCTAAATAGGATGAAACAAACGCATTATTAAACTGGTATTTAAGAAATATTTTAGACAAGGTGTTGAATGTTAAATCTAGAAGATGTTAACTGATGAAAACAACACATTTTTAAAGACTGGCTCCAATCGGTTGTTTGATTGGAGGGAAGGCTTTCTCTCTGGACTAATTATCAGTCAATCCTCAGAATCAGGGAATCAGATCTATTTTCGTTTCATAAACTGAAGTATTTCAGACATTTTAAATAATTGAGCATTTTAGTCGGTGCAGAAAAGCTGAATTTAATATGCGTCAAAGTAATTGGAGAGTTTATGTAATGTATCATGATCTGACCAATGGAGTGTTTGTACAGTAAAAGAAAGAAATGGGGCCCAGAATAGTGCCTCAGGGTGCCCCTGATGTTAGATCAGTAGTATCTGACATGACATGTGACATAGAAGATCCATTCATTTTCTTACATGCTTAATCCCAAGTGGGTTTGCGAGGGGTGCTGGTGCCTATCTCCAGCTGTCTACGGCAAAAGGCGGGGTACACCCTGGAGAGGTCGTCAGTCCATCGCAGGACATAGAAGATATGAAATATATTTTTGACAATAAGATCCAAACCATTCCACCTTAAACAATAAAGATGGTGTGCATTACAGCAAAAAGTCTAACCAAATTACAACAGTTAAGTCCTTTGTATGTGGTCAGCATGACTTGTCATTAATATGTCGCCTAAACTTTTCAATCAAAGGAGACCGTTGCACACTGAGAAAAACAGGCAAAATGAAAGAAACACTGAAAAAATACAATTTAATACTATGGAATTTAAAAAACATTGATATATTTATTTTTAAACCACTAAAAAATGTCCAGGATGAAATCGAATGATCGACACCAAAAGTTTGACATTTGCTCCTGTCTCTGCTTTTTGGCTCATTTAGAATCACCCCCTGGCTGCTTTAGAATGGCTTTCATAGAGCATGTCCGATAATGTCCTTAAAACAACCTTAAACGTTATTTTTTTAAAATATGCTACTCACCGGGTCGTCAGCGCTGTTCAATGACGTTCCAAAAAAAAGTTTCGTGAAGAAAAAACGTTCCTGTAGTGTTTTATTTAGCATTTTGTAAATCCCATTGAGTTCTGTTGGAATAGTCAATATTCGCTGCCACCGGAAACGGAAATGGGGCCTGTTTACACAGTTGTAGTCTTTTCGCTTCACTCTGTGTACTCCGACGTCGAGAATCAAGAATCCACCTTTCGTATTCCATTTTCAGAGTTTTTTAAAGTGTTTAACAGAGACGTTAGCACCTCGACGTCGGAGTACACAGAGTGAAGCGAAAAGACTGCAACTGTGTAAACAGGCCCCATTTCCGTTTCCGGTGGCAGCGGAATATTGACTATTCCTACAGAACTCAATGGGATTTACAAAATGCTAAATAAAACACTACAGGAACGTTTTTTCTTCACGAAACCTTTTTTGGAACGTCATTGAACAGCGCTGACGACCCGGTGAGTAGCATATTTAAAAAAAAGAACGTTTAAGGTTGTTTTAAGGACATTATCGGACATGCTCTATGCAAGCCATTCTAAAGCAGCCAGGGGTTGATTCTAAATGAGCCAAAAAGCAGAGACAGGAGCAATGGTCAAACTTTTGGTGTCGATCATTCGATTTCATCCTGGACACAACAGAAAATGGGCTAAAGTGTTAAAAACCGAACTTCTCCTTTAATGTAAACCTGTTTAAAGTTGATCAAGTCAAAGGTAGGATTTTTTTGCAACAAAAAAACTCACTAAAGATTTTAAAAAGTTCATGTCACATTTAAGTCTGAGGGCTCGGTCTTTTGCTGTACAGTGAAGTGAACCATGGTATAAAATGTTAATACCGGTAGTTAATTAATGCTAAGTAATTTTTCTAATGTTGATAAATATGGTTTTGATATTTGGAATAGTATTAGAAGGGGTTTCTCAAAATCATCTCATTATCTGTGGTCTTCTTTTCAGCGTCCGGAAGTTGGCAACCATAGTAAAGAGCTTTATGGCATTAGGGTGTCAAAACGTTTCCATGGCTCCCATCTGTTCTTCCCAAATATGACTCATTAACTTCTATGAAAAAAGTATTTAAGGCTGCCTTTTGTAGGCTAATTCTTGTTCCACTTCCATGGGAACAAATCTTACCAGTGTTAAAACCTTTGCATATCACTGTTAGTATAATGTCACTTAGAGCTTAAGAAAGAAAAAAGAAGGTGCTTTGAATTTAATGCTGGATTGCATTTGGTTTCTGTTTTGCCTCTATTCAGGCTTAAAAGCAAAATCATTGATCGAAGAGACTTTAGAAAAAAAAATGCTCCGAAATTGTCTCAGCATAAACAGCTTCACATCTGCTTGTCAGGAAGAACATGTCCTCATAAAAAATACATAGCATCTTTTTTTTTAAGGTGGCTACAAGTTCACCTTAAACATTGCCAGGAAGGTTGACAGGCTAAGACCCTGCTATACAACACCTCCTTCAAAACACATAAATTGTTGCTTTCTGACTCACACTTAAATACAGTTTGTTCTCCCTTGTTTCTCATCAGCATACAAGAAATCTCCTGTTGTTGGCCCTTGTTCATGTATCTCCCCCCAAAAAAAAACTAAGCAAATAAAAGACCTATTCAAGTGAGAG